TTGGTTCAATACAAATTTTAATACCAAGTCCTGGCAGAGATACAACAACAAAAAAAGAAAACTTGAGGCCAATCTCCTTGATGAACGTCCATGCAAAAATCTTCAACAAAATACTGGCAAACTGAATCTAGTAGCACATCAAAAATCTTATTCACCGTGATCAAGTAGGCTTCATGCCTAGCATGCAAGCTTGGTTCAATGTACACAAGTCAATAAATGTGATTCACTGCATAAACAGAACTAAAGAAAAAAATGACATGATCATCTCAATAGATGTAGAAAAGGCTTTTGATAAAATTCAACATCCCTTCATGTTAAGAACTCTTAATAAATTATGTATTGAAGGAACATACCTCAAAATCATAAGAGCCATATATGACCAACCCACAGAAAACATCATACTTAATAAACAAAAGTTGGAAGCATTCTCCTTTAAAATTGACACAAGACAAGGATGCTCTCTCTCACCACTCCTATTTAACATAGTTATTGGAAGTTCTGGTCAGGGCAATCAGGCAAGTGAGAGAAATAAATTGCATTCAAATAGGAAGAGAAGAAGTCATAATACCCTGTTTGCAGATAACATGATCCTATATCTAGAAAACCCCATGGTCTCAGCCCAAAAGCTTCTTAAGCTCATAAGCAACTTCAGCAAAGTCTCAGGATACAAAAATCAATGACAAAAATGTCTAGCATTTCTATATACCAACAACAGTTAAACTGAGGGCAAAATCATAAACGAACACCCATTCGCAATTGCCACAAGAAGAATAAAACACCTAGGAATACAGCTTACTAGGGAGGTGAAAGATCTGTACAAGGAGAACTACAAACCACTGCTAAAGAAACCAGAGATGACACAAACAAATGGAAAAATATTCCATGCTCATGGATAAGAAGAATCCATATAATTAAAATGGCCACACTGCCCAAAGCAATTTTTGAATTTAATGCTATTCCCATTAAACTAACACTGACATTCTTCACAGAACTGCCTCTGTCCTGATTTTTTACTTTTCTTTTTTCTTACCACAAGTTTACTTTGCCTGAAATCATACAAAAGATACTATGTCCAGCTGTCTCACTCAGCACATTCATGAGCTCATCTAGGGCATGCTCTTCAGTTGTTTTTGTTCCTTTGTATCGCTGAGTAGTATTCTGTTGTAATGTTAGACTTGGAACCAACCCAAATGCCCATCAATGGTAGACTGGATAAAGAAAATGTGGCACATATACACCATGGAATACTATGCAGCCATAAAAAACGATGAGTTCATGTCCTTTGCAGGGACATGGATGAAGCTGGAAACCATCATTCTCAGCAAACTAACACAAGAACAGAAAACCAAAGACCGCATGTTCTCACTCATAAGTGGGAGTTCAACAGTGAGAACACATGGATGCAGGGAGGGGAACATAACACACCAGGGCCTGTTGGGGGATGGGGGGCTAGGGGAGGGATAGCATTAGGAGAGATAAATACCTAATGTAGATGACAGGTTGATGGGTGCAGCAAACCACCATAGCATGTGTATACCTATGTAACAAAAACTGCATGTTCTGCACATGTACCCCAGAACTTAAAGTATAATTTTAAAATGAAAAAAAAAAAAAAAAAAATTTTTTTTTTTTTTTTTGAGACGGAGTCTCGCTTCTGTCCACCCAAGGCCTGGAGTACAAGTGGCCGGATCCTCAAGCTCACTGCAAGCTCTGTCCCTCCCCAGGTTTATGCCATTCTCCTTTGGCCTTCAGCCTCCCGAGTAAGGCTGGGGACTTACAGGCCGCCGCACTCGCCGCTAGTTTTTCTTGGTATTGTTAGGTAGAGACGGGGGTTTTTCACAGTGTTAGCCAAGGATGGGTCTTCCGATCTCCTGACCTCGTGATCCGCCCGTCCTTGGCCTCCCCAAAGTTGCTGGAATACAGGCCCTTGAGCCACCGGCCGCCAATTCAATTTTTTTTTTTTTATTTTTTTTTTTGAGGCGGAAGTCTCGCTCTGTCCGCCCAGGTGGAGTGCATGTGGTCAGATCTCAGCTCAACATGCAAAGCTCCGCCTCCAGGTTCATGCCATTCTCCTGCCTCAAGCCTCCCGAGTAGCTGGGAACCTACCAGGCGCCCGCCCCCCGGGTCGCCCCTAGGTTTTTTTTTTTTTTTTTTTTGTGTATTTTTAGCAAGAGACGGGGCTCCACTGTGTTTGCCCAGGATGGTCTCAAATCTGAAAACCTCGGATCCGCTTTGTCTCAGCCTACCAAAAGTGGCTGGGGAATTATAGCTTGAGCCACGAGCGCAAGCTTTGAAAAACAATTTCCAAATGTAAAGTTCTATAGCTGTAGCAATAAGTTGTAATTGGATCTTCCTTATGGCACAGTCACTTTCGAAATGTCTGCAGTCCGGAGTTATGTAATTTTTCCATTTGCTCTATGGCTGGCCCCCCAAATTCACATGGAGTTGGTTATGTGTGTGATCACCAGTATGTAAGAAGAAACACTTGGGCTTTTTTTTTTTTTTTTTTTTTTCATTTTTAAAAATTATACTTTATAGTTCTGGGGTACA